TGAAATCTATTTACAATCATTATATTACATATATATTATTAAAATCATAAAGTTTACAAATACAATGACCCACTCTCTAAAAATTGCCTAAAAAGATATGTTTTCAAGTCTTTCTTAAAACCAGTTAAAGATGGTGACTTACGCAAATCTAATGGTAGTGAATTCCACAGTTTAGGGGTACACACTGAAAAAGCCTTGTCCCCATAAGTTTTCGTGATTGATCGAGGTTGGTCTAACAGCTGCTTAGATGCCGACCGCAAGACCCCAGAATGCGATTGATAACTCAGTCTGTCCACCAGATAGCTAGGGGAAATGGTTGTTACGTGATCTGAAAACTAGCAAAAGAATTTTGACACCTCCCAGAACAAATCTTAAACTGGTGTCCTCCTACAGCTTGGAGGTGTTTTCCATATGAAAGAAGAACTGGGGAGCTCAATGACACCTGAACAAAGGGAAAATCTGTCGAGGAACATTGTGCTGACCACTTGCCAAAAAATTGCCTTTTATCCCAGAAACCATCCACACTCAAATTCCAGCTGCCATCACACATCTTTTGGAAACACCATCAGAAGAGCATTCCAGAAATAGTCATTTTTATCAACTAGGAAGGAATACAGAAGATTGTTTCTATGGAAAGATAAGTGCTAGGTTTTCATCATTAAATGCAGCTGACCCATCTGTGGTTGCTGAAATGAAAGAATTTCTGCCATCCTCTTGGACTGTTCTTTTGCTTCCACCCAAGAGAGTAACCAAGGGTCTTCAGTTATCATTTATTCCTGGAGGCATGCTATTTCTATTGACTGTCCTTTGAAAAATTAATGTATGTGATAGCCATTGAAAATGCTACAAAATTCTCCTCGCAGTTTTGTAGTAAGTGGAGTTTTTAATGTACAACACCACTGTTTATAAGGCCATGATTTTAGTTACTGGGAGTTTTACTTGATATATTTTTATGATTTAATGTTTGTATGTTACTAGCAATTGAAACCTAAAGTTTGCTTTGCCAGGTAAGCATCTTTCTTAGCTTAGCAAATGATATGCATTAATAACTAGGTTAAGAAAGGATTAGTATGTGGCTAAAGAGACAAGTACAGAAAATTGCTGTAAATAGCAACACAGAAAATGAAAAACAGTAGTTGTGGGTGTTTTTCTTGTTGGCTGCTGCATGGAGTTGAATCCTGAAAGCACTAAGCTCAGAGATGAAGTCACTATGTTTTCATAATAAAAGAGCTTCAAAAGATTGTCCTCCTTAAGACTGCTCATCACTATCCATCAAGCAATCCACGAGACTTACGACTGCCCCAGGTTCATTTTTTTATTTATTAAGTGGAAAATAGCAGTAAATAGCAACCAAAAAAATTAATACCACTGTTATTGTGAGTGTTTTCTATGTTGGCTGCTGTATGGGGTTAAACCCAAAAGGCACCAAGCTCAGAAAAGTGAAAATTCTATTCTCACAAGTGCTTTAGAAGATTATCCTCCTTTGAACTGCTCATCACTATCCATCAAGCAATCCACAAGACTTAATTAATTTATTTATTTATTATTAATGTACCTCCAAATAGCAACAGAGTAGAAAATAGCAGTATAAAGCCACAAAGAAAATGATTAATGCTGTCATGGTGGGTATTTTCCCTGTTGGCTGCTGCATGGGGCTGAACACTTAAGGCACATAACTCAGAGATGAAGTGAATATATTCCAATAAACTGGAGAAGATTGTCCTCCTTAGGACTGCTCACATACTCAGGAAGTCACCAGCCATCACATAATCCGTAAGACTTATCACTGCCATGGAATGAACTTGGCTCCCAAGTGGAAAGAACCCGACTCCATAGAGAATTTATTATGATAATAATAATAATAATTGTTATTATTATTATTATTATCATTATCATTATTATTTCTATGTGAAGTTACTTTCCAAACAGTCCATTATTAAAAGCAAAACTAACTGCATGGGTCTTATCACTTCTAAGTATAACAAAAGTTAAACTGTATTTACCTAATGCAAATGACCAGCTGTAGTTAAGTTTCACTTGATCACAGGCAGACCATTCTCTGGAGTTGAGTATAACTTTGAATGTTGTTGTTGTAGCTTAGGTGTTTTCAAACTTTCTTCATGCTGTAAAATTAATGTGCTTGCAATGGTCATTCAGCAACTAATCATGATACTCGAATGATTGTTTGATTGTTCTTCAGTGGGTCTTTAATGATTTACTGTAGCACCTGTACTCCTGCAAACATTGATCTGAACATTATCAATCACCTTAAAGAAGACTAAACTTTGAGTTCATGTTTGACCGTGCACTTTTTTTGTACCATTCTTGCTGCTGGCAAGCACTTGTTTCTTCATCCATAAACAAGTTGTATAGCTTTAAATTGTAGTTGAGCATCGCAAAAAAAACCTTTAAGTTACAACCAGTTTTGTTAAAATAATGTGTGATGTGTTTGTTTGTCTCATGCTGAGCAAGGTACAACATTTTATACTAGAACATGTCATCATTTAATGTGTATTTACTGTTGTAAGTCTCATGCTGATGAGCCGAAGAGGATATATTAAATGGTACTACCATACAGAGTTTGCACAGGGTTTAATTTCTCAGTCCTCATTGACTTATGAAGCATAATAATAGCTTTTGAACTTTCATAAGCCAGTAGTCTACTTGCAATATTTAAGTCGTTCTTTGTTTACCAACATGGAGTATCATTCATTTATTCAGTTAAGTACAAAAAAATTGTTATTGGTGAGAATTTGATGTAAGCAACAAAAACAGCTTGGCTTCCGCATTTAGTGGACAGTCATTTAAGAGATTTGGAGTAAGACTGAGTCTTTTTCAAAATTTCTTTATTCTTGTTATACTAACTTTCATTAACTTTTCAGATAACATGAACAAACAGAATGTGATCCACCCACAACAGGTCTTTCATTAATAACCTGTTCAAGTTGTCTTTCAACAGCAAGATCTAATTAAAAATCTCTGATAATGCTGTCAATCAGCAAAAGCTCAGATTTTTATATTTTAAAATGGGCGGCAGAGTAAGGCCTCGTTTGAGTATTTTTAATTTTCATTATTGGGTTAGACAATGTAAGTATCATTTATTTTGAGGTTTAAAAAATTTGATTGTCACAGTTGCCAATTTTCCCAAGTTTAAGTTGTAGAAAAGGACAGACAAAGTGCTGTCAGAAAAACACAGAGAAAAACTTCAAGTTGAGTAGAGTCCTAGTTACCAGTTGCCTGTGAGATTTCGTCAACAAGGAACCCCTCTCAGTCAACAGGATTGTTTTGAGCCAGCTTCATACAATTATTTGTAGCAACAACAAAACTGCAGAGAAGAACAGGTGAGTTGCTGTCACAGATAAAAGAAAAAGATTCAAGATGAGTAGAGTCCTGGTAACCTCTTCCCTGTGAGATGTCCAAAACAAAGAACCCCTCTACATTTTACATTCAACAGAATAGTTTTGGGCCAACTTGATATTACATTAACAGCAAAAAAAGAAAAGCCATTTCCACTAAAAAAAAATACCATTTAAAGCTATCTTAATGGTAAAAACTTTATAGTATCATTAACTAACATGTATAATATTCACAATTATTGTACAATACTTTGCAATTACTTCACAATTGCCTTTTTCTTTATTAATCATATTATTTTAAAAGGTGTATTGTTTTTGTACGAGATAAACCATCTACAAGATTAATCACATTGACTTTTTTTCTGTGAACAGTGTCATCAGGAGCTAAAAGTCATCCTCAAGATATAACCTATATCCTTAGAGGCCATTATGTACACACAGTACCGTAAATGATAAGAATATCATGATCAGGAATTACACTGTATGAGAAAATGACATTTATCAACTTGTGTTTCAATGTAAACATCAGCTTATATTTTATCCTTTTAGGTGTGCTTCTTATGTTTAGCAGATTAAAGAAAACACACTTTTGTTGTCTGTGTAATCGAAAATTTCAACCTGTTACTTGATTTTGAGCAGTTCTGTACATTGACACTCGTATATTATTAAGAATGTTATTAATAGTACCAAAGATAATAATCACATAACTAGATAGATAATTGAGTTACATGCAATTAGAATGGATAAACACTGTGTATAATACATGTACTTTGATAATTTGCTATGCAAGTGGACTAGCTTTCTGCCGCATTGTCATCATAAAATTTATTCCAAAGAGAATGACAGATTGTTATATGTCCATCTTGTTGACAGGATCTGTTCAGGTCTCAGTACTGTACCAGACAACATTGTGAATGCTGTCAACACACTGAATGTTCTTCAACAGTGGAATAGAGCAATCAACAAAAAAGTTAATTGTAATTAATATTTGGCTTAGGGCCTCTACAGAATAAAACAAACAAAAATTTGATGAAAACCCAACCAAAAAGGTTTCGGAAGTTGAACTTTGTTTGCACATTATAAATTTGAAACCGAGGACATTTGCTTGAATGCTGGTTGTCCCAGTTGAGTCTTTCACAGGTTAAATTGTACTTGGTTGACAAAACAACCACTACTGCGCAGTTTTCAGATACTGGTGGCCCGTTTTTGTGGAAGGGGGTGTGTATCGCATCCTGTGCAAGAGGCACAACGCCCACTCCACTCAGAATAAACACAACAGTCTCCTCCGAGCCTTCAGTAAGGTTCAAGTCATCAACACTGTCAGGACACCTCAGAACTAAACCACATAACTCTGTGGTACAATTTGAAACTATAATGGATAATTTATATTTTCTAATGAAGGAGGAGATATCCATCAGGAAAGCAGCACATCTTCATAAACCTGTATTATTGCAAGAAAGTGAATAAAACAAGTATTTCCAACACAAGAGTCAGTGAGTGCAGAGAGGAATAATGCTGACATTAGGAGATGCTAATTGCAAGTCCTTTTTGACAGAAGCGCAGTCTGCCAGATGTATTGGATTGCTCATAGATGACCTCACTGATATTGCCGTTCAAGAACAAATGATGTTTCATTCAGTACCCGAACCAGAAAGCAAACAACGAAACAAAATTCCTTTTTACTGCCAACCTGTTAAGTGGTGAAAGCTCCAGTGCTAATGCTCCAACTAAAAAGACAGCTTTTCTTTAAGGGCTGGAAGAAAATTCCCTGGGCACCAGAAAGTTTGCCTCAATCTGTACACACAAGCATAAGAGAGTAAACCAGCCACAACAACAGCAACGTTCTGCTGGAACACAAACTGATCACATTGCCTTAGATAAGGAAGGTGAGGATCGAAAAAGAGAGAAACGAACAAGAATATCAGGCAATAGTGGCAGAAAGCTTAGATTTGAGTAATGAAGACTGCACAGATGACAGAGATTCAGAAGATGAAGATTCAGGCCTTGACTCTGGTTTCCGGGGATGACGTTTAGCCTCAACACTTACAAAACTGTGAGAGTACATTGGGCCTGTTTTAGTTGATAACCAAAAACCTACTTAAAGACAAAGAAAACCTTCCATTGTTCAAGTAAAAACAGCAATATTTATATTATGAGCGCATTATCAATTCAACAAATAAAAAGTCATGGATATTGCATTTTATTTTTAAAAAAAGACTATTTCTTGTGCAATATTGAGTTGTGGAATTTGGCAGATTTAAATGGCCAGAATGCACCAGATTCCATCTCTAAGTAATTAATTTTTCAAAATTTTCCTCCTTCAGACTCTCCTACAATTTCACACCTGCAGTGCTCAAATGGAGCTAAGCACCCACATACTTCTCCGCCTGATAGTCTAGAATCGACTCCTTTTAAAAATGAAAAAGAAGACCCAAGAGCCCATGGTTAACTTTTACCCAAAAAATATATCTAACAGCTTTTGTTTGTTTTTACATTCACTCCACTCTACTATCACAGTTTCCCAGGAACTCAGTTTAAATACAATGTAGTGTCAAATAGCACAACTGCCTCTGTGCAACAAAGGTACATAGTTCCACAATGACTGCCTGAAACCACCTAGGATGGCACCACAAGCTTTTAACTGCTTCATAGGTTTTTACAAATTAAATTATATGCTTCACGATTATTGTGTGCACACCACTGGCCATATGTTACATACATACGTACATACGTTTCATTGAATCTCCCTTTACAGGGCTTTTCAGACACTACAGAAATAAGATCCAAAACCTAAAATCTGTGTGTTCATTAAAAATACTACTAAAACAATTATATCAGATAAATACTGTAGTAACTAATAACATTGAACATACAATTAGTATACATTAAATATAACATTAACCAATCTTTTCTTACAGCCAATAATATCTTTAATTCCCTGAAGGTCCTTGGGCAGGTCATTCCACTATTTGGCTCCACACAGACAAAGATAACGTTCAACATAAACCAGTCATTGCACCCTCCAACCTTTAAAAGATACGACCCAGTCATTTCCTTAGTATGCCGAATCTAACCAAATTGCCAAGTACCTGGTTTTATATTTTTTTTATACTGGTGCAATCACAGAAGAGAGGACCAGACAGACTTTCATCGTGACAAATCAAGAAAGATACTAATGACCAATTAATATGCTATTATGACATCCGAAGAAGCCACCAAAACCCATCCAGGTAGACAAACGAGCAAGCCCTGCCTGAACATGAAACAAGGCTGTATAGTACAGAAGCAGATGATGATACCTTCAGCCTTCACAAGTTTGAAACTGTTTGCAGCCAAATAAAAACCACTTTGCGAGGCATTCTTCCAAAGTCCAAAAGAATGTTATTTGTCTTGATCGCGATTGACATAAATTGACTACATGTATGTTATCTCTAAAATAAGTAAAGCAATAGGGAATTATTGCAAATCTTAGACACACTGTCTTATTGAATACCCTCTTAAATTTGTATAATTTACAGATATCCCCTTATTCATCCTACTACTAGAGCATGCTGTTACTCTGTTCATCTCCTCTGATATTTCCTCATCAAATATGCTTTATTTTGAAACGGTACCCACTTTAATGTGTGATATTTCATGTAAGTTTGAACCATCAAGCATACAGTATATGCTCTTTCTCCACCAAAACAGGTGAAATACATGGATATAATTAATAAAACAGGATGTTTTAATTCCAGGAATTTTTAAATCAATATTTCAAAAACGAATCAACAACTTAGATCTTTTACCAGATTTGGAGGCAAAATGACAATCAAGGCCAAAAAAGGCCTTCAAAATTAATCATTAATTAATTATGGTCATGATTAATCTTTATGTTACTTCTTTTGCCAACTAATGACATTTACATTCGACCACCTCTTGTTCTCAACAGAATAAAAAAGGACCTAGTAAGAACTGTGTACAAGCCTTTCACCTTTATCTCTGTCCTAGACTTTAATCCCTAAAAAATCCATATCCCAACAAATTAACAGCAAAGATAACAAAACTATTGCAGTTGAGCTTAATTATCGGTTTTTCATTTCAGTTGGCCAAAGCTCTGTTCACAAAATACGATTATTGGCTAATGAATGCAACATAACACTCAATCGCAATTAGTTTGTTCGAAGACAATACCCTATGTTCAAGCAGTTTAATTTGAATACCATAGGCAGTGGTGAGATCGAACACATAATATCATCAATGCCATCAAACAAAGCCCCAGGGATTGACAAGATTTCCATTTCCATTTTGAAGGACTGCCTTGCTCCGATTCTTGCAGCAATCATGTCTATTATTAACACCTCTAGTGAAACATGCAAATTTCCCACCACTTGGAAATTAGCCGAAGTAACACCTCTCCCTAAAACTGAAAACCACAAACTGGCGAATAATAACATGCCAATTTCCCTTTCACCGCTTTTATCAAAAGTTTGTGAAAGGGTTGAATGCAATCAATTCAATTCTTATTTGCAATTAAATGATAGGTTAACAAAGACCCAAAGCAGCGACAAAAACTGACACTATTCCTAGAGCAATTGACCAGAAGATGTTCACTTCAGCAGTGTTCTTGGACATGAGCAAGGCCTTCGACAACATCAACCACGAAACCCTAATCTTGTAATTGCAAGAGGTAGGTAGCCTGTGTACAGACGTCCCCTCCTCCCTCAGGAAAAAACCGGGAGAGGAGACGTCTGTGAATCGCTGACGATAATCGTGTTCCCGTTTCTCCAGAATGTTTCCTGCGTCATGATTGGTGAATAGGTCGCAGAAAACCCGGGAAAGCAAACAAAGGCATTTCCTCCCTTGCCTTTGCATGTTTTCTTTTTTACACGGGCTAGTTTTTGCCTTTCTTGAACAAGAAATGTGATTTGAGACCTGCGATGTTTGCTGCACCAATTGCAGCTGTATGTGTTTTATGTTGTGGGGATATTTTAAAGAAAGGAGACAAGAATCTCGTCGAAGGACACACAGAGTTTAGCCCTAAATTAGAGATCGTTTCTCTAGATTTCAGTGTTGAATTAAATTCTTCCTACATTCGCCGCTCTTGTCTTGTAAAGTTAAAGAAAAGAAGAGCGCTGATATCTCATTTAAGAGAAGTGAACGATTCTTTGCGTCAGATCTATGGGAAGTCTTCGAATAAAAAAGTAATTCATTTAACGTGCGACCAGATGCCGTGCAGGATTCACTGTGCGCTTTGAAGCAACCTGATTTGCAAGATCCTTGACTACCGGATAGACCTGTGGCTATGGCTATAACCTCCTCAACTCCTAGAAAAGATCGCGAGCAAGCCGTATCGCTGCCGACAGTTTCGCCGATCCGGACGCAGATCATGACTGCAGACATGCTGTTGAGACGAGTGAAGCGAGAGAAGCACAACAAAAAAAAACAACCGTCTAAGTGCGAGTCAACTGGCCCAGTAAAAGCAAAACAAACACTTAACAGGAAGGGTTAGAATTGCTTAGGAAAATGCTCTGCTGTGGAACTTACAAACAAATCGCCGGAGCAGTGTGGAAAAACGCGATTTTAAAGAAACACGTGCAGCAACTCTTCTTGAAAGAAATTGATCGCGAGTGCACAGCTTTGTGTTCGCAGAAAGAACCGAGCAGCTTCAGATCAACAAGTGAAAACCCTTTCTTTTAAAAAGCTGGACAGTGAACTCGAGAATAAAGCCCCGTTGTTTAGCGCTGTACTATGGACAGCGAGCCTTTGAAAAAGTAAGAGAGATGATCAGTTCTGGTAACCATTGGTTTGTATGTCCGCTGCAGTGTTGCTAAAAAACAGATCCCCATGTATAACTGCCATTCAGCTCTTAAACACCATTATTTTGTATCACAAGGGAATAATTGTGAGTATTTCCTATTTAACTGAGTGTATTGAATTCCTTTTGTTATATTTCATTCAGTTGTCTTCATAATATTTACAGATTGACCTTCATGGCCACAGACAATTTATATTGAAATACACAAAAGGTTTAGTACACATACAAGTTGGTTTATGTTTGAAGAAAATTTCATTCTGACGAAAAAATTTCCGACTTATTATTTGTCTTAATCTTGGTCATTCATACCCTTTTTTTACCTGTTTATCTTACCTTGCTTTTTACTCTAAGTTGAAAATTAAAATGAGTAGTAAAAGACAGTCTCCATGTGATAAATATTTCATGAGTTCGTATCCCCTTTTTGAGGATAATTTTGATGATATTGTTTGTCAGGCAATTTAATTCAGGTCATTCTAAGAATTAAAGAGTTTAGAATAATAATAATGTATACCATGTTAGCATTATATAATTCTTATTTATAAAATTTCAAACTAAATTTAAAGAATTTAGAGATGGAGGACAGAGGAAGTCTGAAAAATTAAATAAATAACTAGAAAGATTGCGATATTTATTTTTTACAAAAACTTCCATAATTGAATGACCTGTAAGTAGTTTTTTGGTTGAGTCTGACACATTCCTTTTTGTCTTCTCTGTTGTTTTTTTTTTTTTGGTTTACAGGGTACTCTTTCTCGTCTTAGGTCCCTGAGACTTGCTGTGTCCCATCATTACTACTACAAGAAGATGGATGAGTATGGGAAAGACTTTGCCATCAACGTAGTTCAGAGAGTGAAAAACGAGTCAGAACGGCTCAAGCATCAACATGGTGCATCAAGTACACAAGGTCCCACTCCCTCGGCTTCTTCATCTGTTGTTATAACTCCAGATAAAGGGAGGAAAATAGTTTTTGACAATTTTGATTGCAAGCAACATGTGCACAGCATGACAGAGCACCACCAAAACATTGACATACACTGGGTAACACCCATGGCAGTGGAAAACAGAGTTTCAGGGAACCACTTATCCAGTGTGAAACCGTCACCTGAAAACCTACTGCAGATAGAAAATGGAGAATTACATATCGTTGACTGAAAGAGCCCTTGTGGAGTTACCTTGCTTGGAGCTCTTAAAATCAGTGGCATGCAAGCATCTCACACCAGTTCAGCCAGCAGATGGGGGAAAAATCAGAGATTACTAGCCTGTGTACATCTATCAAACTGCAAAATAATCAACATAGGTAGCAACTCAGTTATAATGTAGGAACGCTATCATGGCCTTTAACTACCTTGCTTCCTGTGCGCCAGAGTACCTTTCCTCCCAGTTGATAAAGTGAGGAGAAATAAGCGGGCGTGCCACGAGAAGTTCACAGATGCTGAACATTCCACTTTTCAAGTCTGCTAGTGGTCAGAGGACATTTTATTATTAAATAGTCAGTATCTGGAACTCCATGGATAGCCATCTTAAAACTTTTGAATCAGTATCTGCCTTTAAGTTCAATCTGAAACGTAAACTGGTCAAGGATTTTATATATTCTTAAGTTTTTATCATGTCACTTCAATTTTAGTGGGAATATTTTTATTAGAGTTTTTAAGTACAAGTTTTTAAATTAGTTGATACATTATACTTCTGACGTCCTTGAAGTAGGTTTTCATTGCAGTAAATTTTTCTCTTTTTAGTTGTACGTAATTAACTGAATTGTCTTTGAAAAGCCTCCACGAGGAGCAATGGAAATCAAGGACGAATTATGGGACAATTTAGAGACGTTGAGGAGATGTATCATAGAAGGAAATGTAAAGGCAGGGTTTGAGCCAGGCCGCGCCATTACGCCAATCCCGCTCTGCAATTGAAATTGTCCCTTAAAAAAGCGGCCAAGGGGACAATTTGTCCCCTTCAAAATTTAGGGAAAAAAACTCAAAAGGAAGCACACACAAAGAGATTTAGTTCAGTACAGAAATTGCAAGCTAAGAACAGAACATGGAAAGTATATTTTATCATTCTAAAGTCACGTTTCAGTCATGCTCTACTAAACACATACGTTTCATGCTCTAACAGCTTCTAACCAAGCGTGGTGAACGCGCCTGGCAATCGTTAACATGTCACATCGAAAACGTGTTCGAACATTAGAAAGCTGTTTCGTTCCAAATCAAAGCCAGAGTGAATCAGAGAAAAATGATACAGAAGAAGAACAGTGTATTAATCAGGAAGAAACGGATGAGGATCGAAGGAAACCGAAAAAAATCACGAGATCACACGTGCTTGTGTTATGAAAAGGTCTCAGGCAATGTTCAGCTATTTTTGTCAGAAATCTAAGAGGACAAACCTCTTTGCATCAGCAGAAGGGTGTACAAATTGTCCCCCTAAAAATAAAAATGTCCCCCAAAATTTTAGCCAAGGGGACAAATTGTCCCCCAGTGATCAAAATCTAGCTCAAACCCTGTAAAGGGTGTTAAAGAAATAAATTGAAGAAATTGTTTTTGAATGCAAAAAAAAGTTTAAATTGTCTTTCATTGACCAGCATGTTAACTACCACATGTCTGCAATGAGAAAGGATGAATTCTCAACTGCACTTATCCTAAGAGAAGTGGAACTGAAGAACTGCATTCCTCTCAAAACTACAGGGAATGCCAACTGTATGTTTAATGCTGCTTCACTGTTGTTGGTGGGAAACAAATCCCTAAGTGATGTGATAAGGCTACTCATTGCTGGAGAACTTTTCTGTTTCTCAGAGTTCTACATACAAACTATTCAAGACAGGTTCTTGGAAATAGAAAACGAGATGCCCTATTCAGAGGCTACTGCCTTCTCAACTATCACAGGGAATTTTTGGTGATTCCCAAAGTGGGAAAAAAAACAGGAAATTCGTGGGGTTTTCTTGGGTTTTGGTTGTAATTTCCCAAATTGGGAAAATGCTACCAAAACCAATATTGGGTTCAAGTAAACCCAATAAAAACCCGCAAATTGGGATTTTAGTGTACCAACTTTAACCCAGGAATGGAGTTTTCGCGTCCCATATTTATCCCATTAATTGGATTTTACCAACCCACAAAAACCCCAAAAATGTGATTCAATTGTCCCAGTTGAACCCCGATAGTGGGTTAATACTGGGCCATCTGAAACCCAATGTAGGAATTATATTGGAACAGTAATACCCCAACCATAGGTTTTTATTGCCCCAGGTAATCCCCAATTAGTGGTATAACATTGGTCCACTTTTATCCCATTAAAGGGATAGTATTGGACCAATTTAAACCTGAGGTATGGGAATATATTGGGATAGTTACACTCCAAAGATGGGTTTTTATTGCCCCAGTTGATCTTCAATAATGGGATAACATTGGCCCACATATTTCCTGACTTATGGACTTATGAATGTAATTGTAATCAATCAAGCAGCCTTTAAAAATATTGGTCCAGTTGTAAAACACACAAAAAAGGTTCGACAATATTAATATGGTTAACAGTAACATTTATTTTAGATGACAATGCAGGAGTCAATTCAAACTGGTAGACTGTTACTAAACAGGTATTTAATCTGTATCTCTTTATATGTAAATATAACGTGCAAAAATACAATATCATTGAAAACTGTATCATAAAAATATATTAAACAGTTTAATTTAAGTTCATTCATCAATCATAGAGTAATGCAGTTATGCAGAGTCATATTGTTGAAGGCTATTCCATACATTCATCAAACAGCTCAATTCCTTTATGAACACATCAAATGTCCCTTAACTTCATTTTCATGGTTAAGAGCAGCAACATTTATATCAGAACCACTATGGTATTTAGTTATAGCTGGGTCCTACCTGGGAAAAAACAGCATCAAGTCATAATTATAATAAATGAACCAGTCTCTTGTATAGTTTTTACATAGCGGACGTGTCAGAACATTCTTATATTTCCTCTAATACATCGAAGTGTTCAATTTCAATATTCAGCCAGAATATGATTATTCTAATAGATTCTGTGGATGATTTGCAGCAAAGACCACAGTCATCTGTATAAACAAAAAAGGTGGAAACTTCATCTATAAAAACGAACAAATAGCACCTGAGAAGAGACGATCGAGCCTCGTACGATCTCAATGGAGCAACCAAACACGAGTTTCCATACATACCTTCCTCTTTAGTGCGCGATCCAGCTCAGTCATTGTTTAGTAGAAGACGATTTTGAAACAAGACAAATGTAAGCAACCTCACAATTGAATATTTTGCGTTAAAATCTTTGGATGCATTCATTCTAAAGACAATCCGTTTGCAAACCACTGTTGTACTGCACAGAAGTCCGCCTAACGATTTGAATCAAGAAAACTGATCTTGTACACATTTTTATTGGTTCAAAAGCCGTACATGATCGCGTGTCACTAAGCGGAGGCCTGGACGCCAGTTCAAGTACCAAACATGGCGGCAATTCGACGGCACGATGAAGATTGTCTGTCTTTGAAAGCTTTAACTTGTGGTCCGTTTCAGAGTTAAATGCACTATGCCGACACTCGCGAAGAGTAAAGCAGTGAGAAGAAAATATTGCATTGTTCTCCCAGGTGAGGGAACCTTTGAAAAAAGGCAGCGGGCCTATTCACAGATGCGGCGAAAAATGTAGTTCGCCGAATACTCCATGCAAAACAATCTCATTAATCAGATTGGACTCGAGTAATTGGGCAAATTTCAGCTCTCAACAGAAGACGCCTTGATATCGAGAAGAGTTATGCGCCTAGTGGGATCATTCATAGTTAATTATATTGAAGCGGCTGCATGCGATCAAGTGCATGCACTGAATTACCACACTTTTGGTTTTCAAATAAGCCAATCAAACTTTAACTGTTTTGTTTTAAACTTAGCAGATATGATGTTTGGAAAATTAAACTTTTTAAACATTATTTGTACACTATGTATGTTGGTATTTCAAGAGCAATCTGTCATTTCTTTCAAGACTAAATTCAACATTTGCGAAGATTTACTAGTTACCAAACATTTTGTGTATGAAAAATATTATTCTTAATCCTTTTCTGTTGTTGGATTGAAATTTATTCAATATTTCCCATAAAAGAATATAATAATTGGCCTAACCCTTACATTGTAATGCTAACACAAGATTATTGTATTCTTTCCTACCCAAATATAATAGTCATAAGAATAACAAATCTAGATTTAATCAAATCCTTTTCCAAGGTGGGGATTTCTTGTCCCTTTCATTTTCCAAAATCGGGAACAACATGCTGCAATATTTCCCAACTTGTGGGAAAATAGCCCCATTATTTTCCCATATTTTGGGCAATAAACCCATTGGTTTCCCAATGTTGGGATCTTGGAATCTGTATTGCATATTTTCCCAAACTAAACACAGTATTGGGAAAACGTAACCCTAACTTTAACCAACCCTTTCCCAAGGTGGGGATTTCTTGTCCCTTACATTTCCCAAAATTGGGAATAACATGTTGAAATATTTCCCAACTAGTGAAAAAATAGTCCCATCATTTTCCCATACTCTGGGGAGAAAACCCATTGGATTCCCAACATTGGTATTTTAAAAAATATTTTGCTTCATTTCCCAAAGTGAACCCAGCATTGGGAAAAATAAACCCAAACTTTTACCAATCGTTTACCATGAGAGGAAAATGTTGTCCCAACAATTTCCCAACAATGGGAAAAATCCCAAACACTTTCCCAGTTTGGGAAATACAAAAAGTTTCCTGTGAATCCTAACAGAAGCGGGCAAGAGAGAAATGACAAACTCAAAAAGTCGCCTGGAAGCAAAAAGTCGCCTATTTGCACAGAAGCACGCAATACATGCCTTACGAACAACTGGAATGGGATGGTTCAAATGACGGCCTTGTCCACTGTTTTAAGACGGCCAATATTCAGGATTGACTTCCTGTAACTTATTGACGATTTTGCTGAGGTTTATATAAAGACCTTTAGTACATTGTATTCTATTTTTTTAAGATAATGTTTGGCAACTAGAATATTTCTCCAGGCGACCAAAAATGAAAAATAAGGGGCCAGCTGGTTCCAAGATTTTTTTTTGACAGTCGAGCCCTGCACAACCAAAGAAGTTATGAACATATATGAAAATCATATATATTCATAACTCCATCATCGTCCTTTCATGGGTTTATAGAGAACCAATTCAACGACCTGCTCCCAGCTGGCTTGTTGGCTTAATAAATTATTGGTAGAGAGCTGAAATATCACAGAGGTCAAGGCTTTAAATCCAGCACAAGCCTGAATATTTTCAGGCTTTCTTTTCACAACTACAGTGAAACCTGTATAAAGCAGACACCTAAAAAGTACCTCAAATGGTCACTTCTTTTATTGCCAACCTGTATTGAACAGAGACTTGTAATCAAATTCCACCACCTGACATGCCAGACACCAAAAATGCGAAAGACTGCCACCCACTAATTTTTTCAATTTTTACAGTAAAAAACATGACTTCAAGAACAGCATTTAATTTGCATCACACCTCGATGAATACAGTACAGTAGAGTATTGTTTTCTATTTCATTTCTGTTGTATAGAGCTTGTCTCACTCATCTGATTTCTTCAAACTTGAGTTGCAATCTATGTTTATGGTACTATGATCAACTGGTCCACTTTAACAACAAAATTAATGCAAAGGTATATCGTCATAGTCTCTGGGAATATTCTAAACATTTCCACTGTTCACTTGAATGGCATTTGACACCTCACATGACTGTGTCTATTGAAACCACTTTTAGACAGACACTACAGCATTCTTTGAGGGTGTCCCTTGATATGGGTTTCACTGTATAAAAATTGCATCTCTAACTGCAATGATCTTCTTTAATAAACTGGTTTTTTTTTGGCGAAACTTGCTTATCTCTTTTTTCAAACTCTTTTTTTGGAAATCAGTAATAATTAGAACTTGTGTGACTGACCTGCCTCAATTAGTTTAGCTACCTGTAGGTCAGTCAGACTAATGTAAAATAGTAATGTTGTTATATTTAATAAATAAACTTGAAAGTTTCATCAGTTAAGGCAAATTCGTGGCCTTCTCCTTGAAATAATTTTTCTTTATTTTCTTGTTCGATATTTACCGTGACCATTGTTATGCAGGTTTTATCACTACAGTTCAAAATACTATGCTACACTACACTGTTTCGGTTCAGTCCGCTGTGTCTGTGGTTTAAATGCACTTCAAATTAAAGCAAGTAAAAAAAAACTGTCATCTACTAATAACATTGCAATTTTATATTCTTATTTTTCTTGTCTCTCTCTTAGTAATTGAAAAATAATAAGCTATATTTATCCATCTTTAAAAGACATATATCAGTGGTTTCAAAACAAGCCAGCAACCGCCAGAGTTCAGTGGTCACTGGCTAATCTAGCAGCTCATGATTTACAAGCTTTTCTTGTATTCTCCAAACATCCCGCATAGGTTATCACACAGATAAACCCATAGAAAGTGTGGTCTATTGCTTAATGATATCTTTGCTTTGCAACACACAGTTTATTCAGTTTGGTGTACGCCTGTAGTCCATTTGTAATCCAAATAAAAGGAAGATTGTATTATGCAATTATAGACTTCCCTGTTTCAAAACAATTTCGAGTGGGGGGAGGTAAAACCTTAGGTTCAAGTAAGGCCATAAAGCTTGCAGGAAATCTTGTCTCAAACAACCCGCTCTTGAAGGCGCTTATAGCAGCGGTTTGAATTGCGAACTTTTAAAAAAACGCCTCTCTTAATCTGGCACCAGTAATGACCTGAATACAGAACCAAGAACTTCACAATTTTGTATAAAAACCGAATTTCTTACGACCCATATATTCAGCACTTTTTTTGCTTATGGGAAACTTACTGGAAAGTGCTTTTTCTGTGTTTGTTTACAGCTGACCCTCATTTCCCCTCTATACTTATTTGACCTAGATCTGACAGCTCAATGAATGGGGAGCCACAACAATAGTTCCATTGTATTCTGACCAGAACCATAGTCCGAAGTCTGCGTTTTACACTCCCCAGAGAGCAAAACAACAGCTCTGCATGTGCATCACCCAAATAATATTTTTACATTTTGATGTACACTACCAGGATGTAAAAAATACCAGTACGTTTTATGGAGGTCGTGAACATGCCACGACGAATTTCAGCGTTTCACATTTCAACTCGAGGAAGCTTACCCGGATTTTACGAACTGAAAGAGGCCAAATAAACGAAACCTGTGATCAGGAGTTTTATTTCGAGAAAAGGGGATAAATCGCTTCCCAAATACCTGATCGCTGGTTAAAATAAACGCGATAAGTTTGAAGGAACAATAAGCTTGATTTATCTTGTTAGTGGCGGCGTTATCATGTCTGCCGCCGCTCGTGCATTTTATAAGCTTCCGATCTCAGTACATGCAAAATATCGGTTTACTACGAAGCTGGTGTCTTTTTTTACTATTGAGAGGTTAAACACTTAAAAACGTATCCACGTTGTTAATCGTCGAGTAAATTTGCATAAGCTTACCTGCAAATGTTCCGTGACATTGCATTCTGTCCGAAGCAAGATGGCATTCAGCTGTTTTGCAGTGACAGCTCAGTTGTATCCCCGAGGTTCAGTACATACCCAGGTACACACCTAGAATCAATTGAACGAGTACATTATAACATTTCAAGGCTTTGTCTGTAACAAATCTGCCATTAACAAGTTGAGGTTTTACCTTCAAAGGAAGCAGAAGACCCGCGCAGAAGACAGCAAACAAACAAACAAACACATGTCACTACACTCTTTCATACCATTCATACGCCCAAGTGGAGGCCACTGAAAAATTGTCCTTACTCGCGTACTGCACACAAACAACCCTTCCTTTCTAACTGTTACGGTAAAATACCAACCACCATTTCAAATAAATAGAAGAAGGAGCCATTTTAGCCGACAAAATTTCCTCGACTGCAACTCATTTCAACATGGGTGGTGCGCCGTGGTGCGATCCCATGCGAACGAGGCTACCTGATGCAAGTCAGCTGTATAGGTCAGGGAGGAAGGGGACAGGTTTAGGACCGGACTATCCCAAGTTTCATTGTATTTTCTATTATTTTTAAGAATCGTAATATGTTTTAGTGAACATGAAACAAAGGAAAACCCTGGAGTAAAAAAATAACTGCAACATATTCTCTAGATTTCCCTATTTCCAACCCCAGCAATGGTTCAAACTTAATTAATAACCCTGAGCAAGAGAGATTGCGTAATCTCAGGAGCCCATATTATCGGCTCTGTTTCTTCAAGATAGTGAGATATTATAAGTGAGTGAAGCGCCTGTGAGACGCGAGAAACGAGGGCATCAATACAGGAACGCAAGACCCGTTCTCGTGCAATCTACGTAGTTTTTACTGGTAATAGTTTACAGGCCTAATCAAATGACTTGCTAGTAAACCCGCAACATAATTTAAGATATTTTTCTCTGATAAATAAGCATATTGCAAACCAATATGGCTCTCGTACATAGGTCTTCTCGTCGCGTTGCGCGTGGGGCGGGGGTCTGGATCCGCGAGGAGAAGAAAGCTTCGAGTCTCTGCCTAACCTAAGATCACGTTCTATTTTTTTTTTTTTTCGTTTCGCCTCGTAAATAACATACGCAGGCACGGATCCATACCGGTTTCCACCGTTTTACGGAAATCTGTCAGATTTTTCATTTTTTTTGTATTGAAAAAAAAAAATTTAAACTTTCCAACTTGAAATCTGGAAAATGGTTTGGACAGTCAGTAAATATCCTGTCTGAATGACTCAGAAACTCAGGAAAGGGGACTTTAGGGAGTTAAAATCCCAAAAAAAATTCCCGGGGGAGTATATCCCCAGACCTTCCTAGAAGTAAGAAATCGCTCAGTATTTATTCTAGATCCGCGCCTGATTCGGGCGGGCTAGGTGAAACGACATTTTAGTGGGAGAACGTCAGAGAGAATGTATGAGAACTGCTAAAATTATGCCTGATGTCAGATTAGTCTCTACTGCACTTTATTACCGTATACCTCTTAAACAGTACGCGCGATGTGACTGATCAATTTTGCGGGCCTTATTCTATTGCACGGCCAGCTAAATTTGAACGTTTCCTTCCCGAGCCCCCAATTGACCTCAGATATAATGAATATCTTACTAATCTCGTTTTTCTCGGTCCTTCGACCTTGGCTATATTTATAGCGGAGATACCGCGCTCGCGTCGTGGGTAAGAACATCTGGGGCTCTTTCTTTCTGGAAAGAAAACTTCCGGGAAATTTTTTTCACCAATTTACACCACGCTAGGTTGCCCTCTTTTTTTTTGGAATTGTTGGAAAATGCTGTTCCATGCGCTATTAAAATTGGTAAAAATTCAAACCAGATGTTTAAGTTGAATGGAAAGCGCCCCTGATTTAACATGCATCCCAGACATTTTGGTCCCGACAAATTCGTCCATGGCTACGTACGCACCTGCAACCAATCCTGTAAGCTACGGTTACATTTTGTATTTCAAGCAGCCTGCGCGCGTTTCGGCGGTAAATCGTGTGGCCACTCGGACTTTAAGAGAAGGGAAAAACAACAACAACAAAAGAGTCTTACTTTCGACTAAATTTAAATGTCTACATCTACTAACGTGAAACTCCGAAACAGAGAAAGAGATAGAGCGGGAAATTAAAATATGGAGCGCGATCCGTTCAACCAAAATTCAGACCGGTCCGACAGGGAAAAGAGGACCACCTCAAAAGGTGGTCCAGTATTTTCGAAACTTTTCCGGTTGGACCGAGCCGATCCAT